CTAACTGTTTGAGAGACTCTGGAGAAATTCGTTGTTTAAGGATTCCACCGTACCCTTCTTCTGAAGCGTCGGTTTCTATTATCATAAATGCTTCAGGATTTGGAATGCCTAGACATGAGAGTTTTTGAACAATGGACTTGACCCTTTTGACTGTGTCAGTTTGTTCTAGACTCCAAGGGACTGGATTCTTCCTAAGGCATTTATAAAGGGGTTCACAGATCTTTCTGATGTTAGGAATAAAATCTGCTACATAGTTGAGACTACCTAAAATCCTTTGTAGTTGTGTTTTGTCTGTGATTTTATCGGGAAATTTGGACGAGAACTCAATGGCTCTACAGATTGGTTTGTAAGTACCTTGATAAAGGTCATGTCCTAAAAATCTAATAGTATTTTGGAACAACTTAATATTTTTAGCACTGACTACTAGGACATTGTGTTTTACTATCTTAAAGAAAGTATTGAGATGTTTAAAGTGAGAATCAATATCTTCTGAAAATATTAATACATCGTCAACATAAACTATTGACATATTACTAAAAGGGTTGAATATATTATTCATAATATTCTGAAATTCAGATGGGGCATTCTTTAATCCGAAAGGCATTACATTCCATTCATATTGTCCAAATGGAACATTGAAAGCGGTTTTATATTTATCTTCTTCAGTAATTTGAATTTGCCAGAAACCTGATTTCATATCAATTTTACTGTAAATATTAGCTTTGTAAGTTCTTTTTAATAAATTTCTTTTATTAGGTACCAGATACCTAATCCATTGTAATACTTTATTTAACGGTTTATAATTAATAACTAATCTGGGAGCTCCTCTTTCCTTTTCTGCATTATTGTTAACGTAGAAGGCTGCACAGCTCCAAGGTGACTTGGAAGGTCTAATAATCTTCTTTTGGAGAAGATCATTTATTTCCTTTTTACAGACTTCCACTAAATCATAATTCATTTGAATAGTTCTTGCCTTAGTAGGTATAGCATGTTTGTTAAATTCTTTAATATAAGGTAGGTTGACTATATGCCTTTTTTCGTTCCGAAAAGGCAGTAGGCAAATCGGAACAAACTTCTAGTTCGAGTTTTTGTTGAAACTGTTTAATTTTATCTTCTACCTCAGGGGTTTTTAAAGTTTGTTCTATTTTGTGAACTTTGATGTCATTCCTTAAATAATTAACTTGCTGAGTTAACAAATTTATTTTAAAAATTTTTGTGATTTAATATAATCACTTTCTTTTTTAGAGATGGGATTTAGATAAGGAAATCTTATTTCTTTGCCTAACATTGTGGTGCAGAGTGCACTTAAGTCGTCGTAATGTGGTTTTATTTGAGTCAGGAAAGGAATTCCTAGAATTATTTCTTCATTAATATCTCTTGTTACTACAAAGTCGTTAATAAAGCATATTCCATCGTTGCAGATATGTGCTTTCGATAATTTGTAATTTATTTTTAGTAATTCTCCTGTAGCAGAGTATAATTTTTGTGTACTTTTTTCTAAATATTTTATTGGTATTTTTTTTTGGTAATTATGTTTTCCATTTATCACCAAAGAGAACATTACAAAGCAGTAGAACCATTCTCGGCTCACTTAGTCTATACAAGTTTCTATTCTATCCTACCTTATAAGCAGTACATAAGACATTAATCAAATGTCTGGCTAGTTAGTACATTGTTTTCAATACATAAGCTGTTGCATCTTCTCCCTCATTCCTCATTTAGCTCTTATGTTGCAAACACATGCTATTTCCCTTGCCACTTGTTCTGCAGTCTTCATTGTCTCACCAAAAATTCTGTTGTTTCTCTCCATCCATATCCCATGTATATGATCGGAGTATACCATTTTCACAATTTTTGCTTTGCATGGTCTCCCTTTGGCTTGCTTTATTATCCATGCCATCTTCTGTGTGTATGACAGTGATGGACTCGCATTGATTTGAATCCATTGCATAAGCCTTCCCCATACTATGTTAGCGAATTCGCATTCACCAAACAAATGTGCATGTGACTCAACTATTTCATTACACAAACAACAACTTGTGTTTGCTTGGACTCCCCAGTTAGCAAGCCTATCTATTGTCATTAGCCTCCCATGGCATTGCATCCACATAGTGAATATTGCCTTGGGCCTAGCTTCATTGTGCAACATCAAGGTTCTCCATACCACCTTGTTGTATCTTCCCAGAATTCCCAAATAAATTTGCTTGGTTATGGTCCTTCTTTATTGCACTGTGGGCAGTTGCTGGATTTCTCCTCTTGCTTCCATAATCTTTCTCACCATCCAACTTGCTTGTTGGGGTATATTCATCTCCACTATACTTTTCCCCTTTATGTAATAAGTATGAATCCACTTTATCCACATCTTGTCTTTCTTCTGTGCTAAGTCCCAGTATACACTTGTTATAGCTGCTTTATTCCAAATTCTGATATTCAATAGATTGTACCCTCCAACAGACTTAGGCAAGCACATTCTGTCCCAGGCTATCAATGCTCTCTTTGTGATTGTATTGGATCCTGACCATATATAGCTTCTGCAGTAAGCCTCTATCAATTTCATCACTTTAGCTGGTAGTATGAAAATTTGGGCCCAATAGGATTGGATACCAAATATCACTGTTTGGACTAACTGAACCCTTCCAGCATAAGATAGTTTCATGGCTGTCCATGAAGAAATCCTTGCTACTATTCTATCAATCAATGGTTTCCATTGCATAACTGACAGCTTCTTTGTGTCCAATGGTATGCCCAAGTATTTGAAAGGCAATTCGCCAAGAGTATATACAGTATTCTGTAGTATTCCCTGACTTGTTGCTTGATCAACTCCTCCAAAGTAGATTGCACTCTTGTTGAGATTAGCTATCAGTCCAGATGTAGCGGAAAATTTCATGAAACAATCATGCATTGTGGAGACAGACTTGCTATCTCCCATGGCAAACATCAGCAAGTCATCTACAAAGTTGAGATGAGTTATGTCTAATTTCCCACATCTTGGATGAAATCTGAACTCCTGAGCATTTTTCAGTCCTTTGAGCAGCCTGCTTAGATATTCCATCACTATAACAAACAAAAAAGATGATATAGGGTCACCTTGTCTGAGTCTCTTAGCAGCATCAAAAGGTTTTGTCAGCTCCCCATTTATCATAATTGAGTAACTGACTGTTGATATACAAGCTTTCACCCAGTTATAGAACTTTGTGGGAAAACACAAATACTCTAGCACTTGTTCCAGATATACCCATTCCACTGAATCATGTGCTTTCATCATGTCAACTTTCATCATACATCTAGGGGATATATGCTTCCTGCTATAAGCCTTGACTAGCTCATGAGCAAGGATGATATTGTCTGCTATTTTTCTCCCTGGGATAAATCCTGCTTGGGCTTCATATATGATGTGTGGCATGATTTTCTGCATTCTTCCAGCTAGCCCTTTAGAGATAATCTTGTACAGCATAGTGCAACAAACAATAGGTCTGAAATTCTTTATTGTCACTGGATTGGACACTTTTGGCAATAATGTGATTGTTGTACAATTGATTGCTGGAAACATCACCCCTGTATTGAAAAAATCTTTCACTGCAGCATACACTTCTTCTTTGATCACTAGCCATGATTTTTTGAAAAATTCTTCATTATATCCATCTATGCCTGGTGCTTTGTCACTTCCTATCCCCTTTAAAGCTTCATCAATGTCTTGGCTAGTAACTTCTGCAATCAGATCTTGCTGTTGTTACTTTATTAATGTTGGCCCTCCCTTCATTACCCTCTTGTCCACAGCTGGAAGTACATGAGCACTTGTTCCCATTAAGCTTTTATAGAATGACAGTATCTTCTCTTTTATGGCTGCATAATTTGTTATGATACTTCCTGATAGTGTCTGTAGTTCTACTATTAGTTTCCTTTGTTGCCTCTCCTTTATCACTGCAAAAAAGAATTTATTGTTAGAATCACCCACTTTGATCCAGTTTTCCCTTGCCTTCTGCTGCAGTATCTTTTCTTCCACCATTGACCAAGTTTCCAGGTTGTGCAACCATTCTTTTTCTTGTTCTTGCAGCAGGTCATTGTAGTTGCTTTGTAACTGGCTCTGTATGTGTTGAATGGTCTGCCTTGCTTGATTTATCTTCTCTGCCACTCCTTTAAATTCTGCCTTATTAAGCTTTCTAAACTGCCTTTTCATCTTTTTGAGCTTTGTCCAAATGCTTCCCATTTTACCTGATGCATTGCTACTATTCCACTCTTCCTTTACTATCCTTTCAAAATCAGGATGGCTTGCCCATACATTAAAGAACCTGAAAGGGCATTTAGTTGTTTTCCTAGGCTGCCTTATGTTGATAACCATGGGACTATGATCTTAAATATGAGGCTCCCCATACTCAGTGCTTAGGTGGATAAAGTTCATCACCCACATATCATTCCCAAACACCCTATCTATACGACTCCACACCCTATCATCACCTTGTTGTTTGTTGGTCCATGTATAATAATCTCCTCTCCATGGTAATTCAGTAATACCAATGTCATTACACAACTCAGCAAATTCCTTTACATCATTACTTTTCACAGGCACTTTAGAAATTCTATCTTGAATATTAAGGATTGCATTGAAATCTCCCCCTATTATCCAAGTTCTTGTTATGTTCTGTTCTAATCTTTTTAGATAACCCCATAGCTGCCTTATATGATCTGTATCATTGTGGCCATACACCACTTGTGAGGCAACACTGCATCCCATTCTGATTCCCAGATACTAAGCAATGAATAAATTGGTCTTATTTATCTATTGGTTGAACTGTGTAAGCTTGTTCATCCTATAGGATCCATACCCTTCCATTCCAACATAGTCATAATTTGTTAGTTTCTGCCATCCTTGGACTATTATATTAATCACCTTTCTTGCTTTGTCTTCTTTCCCCTTTGTTTCTACTATCCCAGCCAGCTTGATGTGTTTGTCTTTAATGTACTGCTTTATTTATTTATGTTTGTATCTCTTATTCAATCCCCTAATATTCCAGATTAACCAAGTCATTGATGAATAATGATTCCACCTCCCAGGTCAGGTGGCCTAGTCTCCTCCATTTCCTCTCCTGCTGTAGAATTTGAAAGGCATTTGCTGTAGTTATTGTTGTCCTTCCCAATGTCATTCTACTGTTACTAGGCAAAGTTGGCCACTCCTCTCTTTGGTATACATCTTGCAACTCTTTGGCTTTCCCTTTATCCCTTACTATCTGAAGCTTGCCATTATTCCCAACATCTTCATTATCATTTTCCTGCCTTATTGCCTTACTTGGTTCTCCCTTTAGATCAGTTTGTTGTTGTTGTCCTTGGCCTTTGACTTGCCATTTTGTGATAACTTTCCCCTGTTTCTGATTTCCTCTGTATTGTTCTTCTTTTCTGACTTTCTTCTCCACGGTACAGTCATACCCTATCTTCATGCAATTTATACAATACTTTTGTTTCCATTCATACTCCACCTGCAACTGGATCTGTTTCCCTGATGTTTCTTGCAAAGTCACCTCTGTTGGAAGCTTTTTTGTCACATTAGCTTCCACTAGAATCCTGGCATAGGAAATTCTAATCTGTTTTGTTATACATTCATCTGCAAAGAGAGGCTTCCCAATAGCACTTGCCAGCTTACTTAAAGTCTTGTTTCCCCAGTAGCTCATAGGCAAATTAGGGATAGTGACCCACAAAGGGATCTCCATCAAAACTTCAGCCTTAATGTCAAATTCAGGTGTCCATTGCTTCAGGACCATAAGTCTACCATTAATAGTATAAGGTCCACCATATAGAATATCTTTCAAGTCTCCTATGGTATCAAATTTTGCTATGTAATAACCTTCATCATGAAGAAACAGATCTGGTATATTAACTTTACTCCAAGCTTGAGCTATATATTTCTCCATGAATTTATATCTAGACATATCCCCAATCACATAGATAATTAAGGCACATTCCCATTTTTTGTTCTGTTCTTCAATTTCTTCTTTATCTGCTTTAACCACAATGTTACCATCAACAATTTCCGGAGGAATATATGATAATATCATACCATTTTATGAAGATCTGTTCCCCGCAAATAAATTTGCCCATGTTTTCTCCTTCTCCGGTACTGCTGCATGTGATTTTAGCTCCTCCTTTTGCTCAGCTGTTACTGTTCCATTGACCTTCAGCTCAATTGGCGCTGCATCCACTTTGTTCTTCTTAATCTCCATGCTTGAGCTTGTTGGTGTGCCTTCACATGAAGATGTGGCTACATTCATCTGAACTGCGTTGAGATCTATCCTCTTCACCGGTCCCTTATTATTGCTAGATGAACCTAATTGTTGTGGATTAGGTTGAAATTGGTGCCCAATTGGTGTTGTTATCTTCTGGGTAGAACCTTTAGCTAAAGTATCTGCAATTACTGTTGCATTTATGGCTTCGCCGACCATCACTAGTGGTACTCACTTAGGTCGACCTTGCTTTCTCACCATGGCTGCTTCTCAGTCAGCGTACGTTAGCATAGCGTGTGCCATTTGCAGCGTTCTTAGTTAGTTTATGATTTTGCAATAATTATCTTAAAAAAGTCTTCCTTTTATTGGTATTATCCCTTCCATTATGCAGTTTTTATCTGCACCTGAATCTAATAATGCTAACTTAGTAAGGGTCATATCATGAACCTTCAATGTTATAGGAAGATGATAACTTTTAGCCTTTACTTTAGTAAGTTTAACTAAGGCAGCTGAACCTCCTTCAGATTCTTCGATAATAGAATCAGTGTCCTTTAATCGTGAAGGGCTATTATCTTCTTCTTCATCGTCTTCTTCTTTTGAGAAGAATTCTTTGTCAATAGCTTTCCCTTTATCTACTTGAGATGGTATTTTATCAGTAATACTTTTCATCTCAAATTTATTAAGTCGAAGCTTAATATCTTTTAGTTCTTCTTTTACTGATTTATGTTCAGTTTGAAGATGTTGGATAGTAGTAGGCTCTTCTGTTTTTACAAAGAATCTATTCATTACCTTTTTCATATCAAAAGGTTCTATCTGTGGTCGATTTCCCTTTTGTTTAATGATAATGTTTTTTAACTCAGTTAAATATTTTCTTCTTAATTCATCATTATCTATGTGTTCGATGATGTCGAATAAGACTTCTTTGGAGTCTTCTGTGATTACTCTAAGAGAATTTTGACTACATACGCAAATTTCGCCAGTACAATTACAATTGTCTTCTACTGAGCTGTTGCTATCTGAGTCAAATGCGACATTATTCAATTCATTATCGCTATCAGAATAGCTATCAGTGGATGAAGATGATGAACTGTTATAATTATCTTCTAGAATTGCGTAAAGTTTTTCTTTAGTGTTGTCGTCAATTTCAAGAGCATTTACTTTACTCTATTTCTTTTTGGTAACTTTGCACTCATTGGCTCTATGTCCCGTTTTTCCACAAGACCAGCATTTTTCACCATAATCCCTTTTAGATTTTCTTTTAAACCTTTTATTTTTAGAAGTTTCTCCTTCTTTCTTTTATTTACGCCTGTGGCGTCCTTTAGGTTTATCTGAAGATCTGTGTTTCTTTGACACTCTTTTTGATGGAGCGGCTATTGATTTGTAGCCGAAGTCTTGGCAAAAACTACCAAGCTCAGCTTTGGACTGTAGTCTATCCTTTTTAATAAGACTTTTAAGTTTTAGGTCTGTACATAAGTCTAAACCGGTAACATTGATAAAACTTATTAAGTCTCGATACGTAAGATTGTCATATGGAATTTGACCATTAAACCTATCTCTAATTTTAGTTCTTACCTTTTTGACAAATAATCTGGGTAATCCACTAAAAAATCTTTCCTTCCAAAAAGGTTTATTGCAGTCTTCTCTGACCATTACTTTCTCTATGAACATATCTTTATACCACCTAAAGTCTGTTAATTTTGGGTAGCTAAGATTATTTAGAAGTTCAAAACTTCTATCCTGAAATAATTTTGATTCACCAATAAAATGTTTGGCTATACAGTAGATTAAAGTTGCAGTAGCATCTTCTTTAGATTCTTGCTCTGCTATTTGAGTATTATTTTCAGTTTTTACAACAGTTATTACTGCTTTGGCATTCAGGATTTGATTCCTATTTTCTTTGGAAAGGTAATTATCCCACCAATTTTTTAATGAACAAGTAAAGCCTGATACTATTAAGGTTGCTGCGTGTTTATCTGATGCATTTTTCATTTTGTATGCTTTTACGGAAATTCCTATTTCGTGAAGCTTTTTGTAGATTTGGCTTTCAGCTAAACCATCAATATTCCATTCAGAAATTCCAGCTCCATTGTGACTGGAGTGGATAGATAGATATCTTCTTCAAACTGAACGTTTGGAAATGATGCTCTTTTGTAATAATTCTTTTTATTAGGGTGTTGGGGATCATTCGTTAATCTACTTACTTCAGGAGTAGTGGTAGAGATAATTTTTAGAGTGAGTGAAGGTTTTAATTTATTTATAGAATCTACAAGCTCTTTAGAAGCTCTTTCTATCATCTTTAGTTTAGTTTCCATGTCAGGGATGGTTTCTTCCTTTAACAAAATTTCATATTTGTTATTTAATGAACTTAACTGTGTTTGCAGTTTATGGAGTTCAACGGTTTTATCTTTGCTAGTACTAGCTTGTCCTGTATTAGGCTTTAAGATACTTAGTTTTGTTTTAAGTTGTTCTTCTATTTTTTTCTAGAAGTTCATTTGTAAAATCGAATTTTTCTCTTAATTGAGGGAATTTTTCTTTAGAAAATTCAGGGATTCTGATAGTAGGATGTGTTTCAATTGTGGATGCTACCATCGTTCTAGTAGGGGTTGCTATCTTGTTGGTATCTTTTAGCTGATTAGATACAACATGTAAAAGGTTATTTGTGTAGTTATTTTGGACAATTATTTTGTTTAGATCTTTGTTTGTTGGTTCTTTGTCAAGGTAGGTACTTTCTCTTTTAAAAGGGGAAGCTGTGACTACCTCATTTTGAACGGGTATTATGATTTCATCTAATGGTGGAATGGTGGCCTCTATTATACCTTTAT